GCTTAATTTAGACGCCCCCAGCTTATTTCAGCATAATTTAGACGCCCCCAGCTTATTTCAGCTTAATTTAGACGCCCCCAACTTATTTCAGGTTAATTTAGACGCCCCCAGCTTATTTCAGCTTAATTTAGACGCTCCCAAGCTTATTTTAGGTTAATTTAGACGCCTCCAGCTTATTTTAGACGCCCTCCCGCTTAATTTAGACGCCCTTCAGCTTATTTTAGGTTAAATTAGACGCCCCCAGCTTATTTCAGCTTAAAATAAACGACCCAGCTTAGGTAAGCCTCAGTAACCACGAAAGGTAAATTGCAGGGGGTAACAGCGGTCAAGAGTAATCTCAGCATTAGCCAATCAGTGAAAGCCACGTGGCAAGTCGTGTTGCAATGTCACCTGAAGATTAGACACCCCTTATTTCACCTGGATGAGGGTGGTGGTGGTAGATTAATGTGTGGGGTCTTAGGGAATTAGTGGTGGTGGGGTAGAGTTGGTAGGGTGATGAGGTGGTGGTAGGGTGATAGAAATTAGTAGAGGTGGTGGTGAGGTCTTAGGGGTGATAGGAATTGGTAGGGTGGTGGTAGGGTCTTGGGGTGGTAGGAGGAATTGGTGGTAGGGTCTTAGTTGGTGCAGGTTAAGTTGGTGGTTGGTGGTTGGTGGGGGGTGGTTGGAAGTTGATGGGGAGTTGGTGGGGGAATTGGTGGGGGTGGTAGGATTGGTGGTGGGGTTGATGGGGGGGGTGAGAGTTGGGGTGATGGGGAATTGGTAGGGTTGGTGGGGTGGGGTGGTGATGGGGGTTGGTGTAAAGGGGTTGGTGGTGGTGGTGGGGATGGGGGTGGTGGTGGGGAGTTGGTGCATTGGTGTTGGGAAGTTGGTGGTGGGGGTGGTGGGGAGTTAATGGGGTTGATTGGTGGGGGAGTGGTGGGGTGGGGAGTTGGTTGGGGTTGATTAGGAGTTAAGTTGGTTGATTGTTGGGGAGTTGTTGGTGGGGTTGGGTTGGTGGGGATTGGGTGGTGGGGGGGGAGTTGGTGGGGTTGATGGGGTTGGTGGGGAGTTGGTGGGGTTGATGGGGAGTTGGTGGGGTTGGTTGGTGGGGTTGGTGAGGTGGGGTTAGGGTGGGGTTGGTTGGTGGGGTTGGTTGGTGGGTTGATGGGGAGTTGGTAGGATGGGGAGTTGGTGGGGATTGGTGGGGTTGGTGGGGGGTTGGTGGGGATTGGTTGGTGGGGTTGGTGGGAAGTTGGTTTAGAGTTGGTGGGGTTGGTGTGGGGATTGGTTGGTGGTAGAGTTGGTGGGGTCTTGGTGGGTTGATGGGGAGTTGATGGGAGTTGGTGGAGTTGGTGTGGGGTGATGGAGGTTGGTGGATTGGTGGTGGGGTCTTGGGGTGGTGTTGGGTGGTGGTACAGTGGGATTGGTGGGGTGGTGGTGGGGTGGCAGGGGTGTGGTGTAGGGTTGGTGGTGGGGTTGATGGGGAGTTGGTGGGGTTGGTGGTGGGGTCTGGGGTTGGTAGGATTGGTGGTAGGGAGTTGGTGAGGATTGGTGGGGTGGTGGTGGGGGTTGGAGTTGGTGTGGGGGTTGAGTTGGTGGTGGGGTCTTAGGATGGGGAGTTGGTGGGGTGATGGGGAGTTGGTGAGACAGTGGCGGTGGGTTTGTTTACATAAAGCACTGAGGCTCCTTCAATGACTCGTTTGTTGATGCTCCTTAGACCATATTCTGGAATATATGCTACACATATAAAACCCCAAAGATATTAATTATATAGATATGATATATAAACTAAACATATATTAAAATAGGAGTCTAATCTGTTAATGATTTTGGGACACCTGTATTTTCAATTTCTATAGGTCGCAAACTCCATTACTGACGTGAGAAATATTGACACTTTCTCTCACTAACTTTCTCAAACTTGTTACTTTCCTTCCACGAATTGCAGACGACTGTAATGGTCAATATTGTGTAATACTTTCTGAGTGACGATGATGGAAGCTTAATAATAATAATAATAATAATAATAATAATAATAATAATAATGACCAAATTTATCCTAACCTAACCAAATGACCTGTTTAATGTCCCATGGCCTAATGTATGTATGTTATGTGTGTATGTATGTATGTGTGTGTCAAGGTTGTTATTATATACACACATCATGTACGCATAGATTATATATATATATATATACATATCATGTACACCTTCTCAGTGTGGTAGGGTAGAGTAGGGTAGTGGTAGGGTAGGGAGGGAGGAGTAGGGTAGTAGGGTAGAGTTAAATTCATCAGTGCAATAAGCTGGGGTGTCCAATGTTCAAGTAGCAGCCAATCAGAACCGTCATTACAAGAATATATTCCAATCAGAGTGTCAATCAGGTGTCAAAAAGTGTCTAACAGGTGTCAATATGGTGTCACTAGTAGGCCAATCAGGTGACTCACTCTCAGTGAACAGACACCACCCCGAAGGTGAACCACAGCACCTGTTTACTGGATCACAACTCTCGTGTGTGTGTGTGATGCCTCTAGTGTGGCAGCATTATTTTAGTGTCAAGGTGCAAGCACTGTTTACTTCCTCTTGTTTCAGCTGCCGCCGCTGGCTACCCCTCTGGTGAACTGGGAAACAACTTACATAAGTCTTCCCCACCAGTAGCCTCCTCACCATCAAGACTCCTGCTGTGGCACACAGTAACTGGGTGGGGCCCAGGCTAGACCAGCAGAGGATCCCAGGAGTAGCAGTGGGCTCCAGAGGACGGGCACAGGCCCTGGCATGTGGACACGTCTGGAGCCTACCAACCACCGCCCCCTGCCTTGAGGATTAACCTTGGCAGGTGGGGCCCTGAGGCAGACATGTACAGAGCTCCAACAAGGCCCAACAGGCGGTGTAGGCGGAAGAGGTGACCACTGGGAATCAACAGACTACTGCAGCGGACAGGCAATGTCTGATGGCCAGGCTACTAAGGCGAAACCCAACAAACTGGGCTGTCGGCAGTCCATTGCAACTCTCCCTCTCCCAGTCGGACACAGCACTTGCACCACTGCATCAGGAAAAGGAGGCCAAGATGTGGTTGCAGCCATCGCCCTCTCTCACCACATGACTCACACACAGCCATCACCCAGCTCATCATACCTCTCATTATCATCATCATCAAAAGTCTATGGTGAAGGACGAGTGGCGACGGGGACAGGCAGAGATGACTGCCGGGAGTCTCTAGTCACAACTCTGCACATGGGCGGCACAGATAAGATGGTCGTTTATGCACTGGGGTCTAGGCAGCAGTGCAATCCAGTCCTATCTGTGTGACTGAGCAGCCCTTTCGAAGCCACTCTGTTCACCCCACACGGGGAGGGGCTAGAAAAGGTGCCCTAAACACAGCCTGCCTAAGAGCCAACCTGGCTGAGCAACTGCACCCAGTAAGGTCATCCTATGTGGTGACAGCCATAATCACATATCCAACCTATACAGCCTCTTATGGTCGCTGCATGGAACGGGACCCTTCTGGATACTGGCACAAATATTCTATACAGCGATGTTTTTCATAATTCCTTCCTTTTGTAAACATTTCCTGGTGTAAGCAATTACTATGTACTACAGTATTGTATCCCTTTGTCTGTGTCTGTCTGTCTGTCTCTGTCTGTGTCTGTCTGTCTGTCTGTCTCTGTCTGTCTCTCTGTGTCTGTGTCTGTCTGTCTGTCTGTGTCTCTCCTTAACCCTAATCTGAAAGGCCTAGTGGGTTAGGTTGGGTTATACAGAGTCACCACATCTACCTACCCTACCACACAATGGGTTATCGTGGGATAACCCATGACACAACTCTTAGCCCACTATTAGTCTAACCATGGGCAAGGAACATAAGAACATAAGAACATAAGAATGGAGGAAACTGCAGCGGGCCTATTGGCCCATACTGGGCAGTCCGTTTACACCAACCCTATTGCTCATATGGGCATCCAACCTAACACTAACCTAACCTAACACTAACCTACAGTGTGTTTGAAGCTATCCAGCGTATTGGGTTAATGATGATATTTGGTAACTTGTTCCATTCATCCACTACTCTGTTACCAAACCAGTGTTTACCTATTTCACGCCTAAATCTAAATTTGTCCAATTAAAACCATTGTTACGAGTTCGCTCCTGGTTGGATAATTTGAGTACCTTTGTAATGTCCCCTTTGTTTAGCCCTGACTTCCATTTCTACACCTCTATCAGGTCGCCCTCGCTCTACGTCTCTCAAGGGAGTGCAAATTAGATGCTTTAACCTGTCTCTGTACTCAAGGTTCCTAATGCCCGGATTAGTCTTGTCATTCTCCCCTAATTCTTTCCAATGATTCTATATCCATTCTGTAATACGGTGACCAGAACTGAACTGCGTAATCCAGGTGTGGTCTCACAAGAGCAAGATACAGTTTTAGGATGAGGTCAAACCCACCCTCTCCCTACCCATACACCTGCCCTGATGCCCAGGTATGAACTCAAGGTGTGGGTGTGTGTGTGTGTGTGTATATGTGTGTATGTATATGTGTGTGTGTGTGTGAAAGACAGGCCACAGAAACAGAACTACAAAAACCGCTGGACCACTGGACCATACATTAATACAACTGTACCACAGACCAATGGACGCGCTGGACCACACGGGGCCCTTCCTCCATACACTTAACGCCGCTGGAATTGCCCTGAAGGCTTTCCACTTTCACTCTCACTCACTCTCTCTGAGGTGGGAGAGAGAGAGAGAATCCACTTGTCCCTCTAAAACCTGACAAATCTGCATACACACACATACATACATACATACACACACACACACATACACACACACACACACACTTACACAAATATATACACGTACTTAACCCTACTAGTAACGTTTCCGGAAGTACTTGACGTTAAATGCGCACTACAAGACGCACTTAAGAGGGGTGGGTGATGGGTGGATGAGGTGGTTTAGTAGTAAGCAATATATAATAATAGCCACTAGCAACAGTATTAATAGAAGAAAAATAATAGCCAACACTTAC